GGTGGTGTGGATAAACAGTAATGGTAGAAAATTCATTAATTGACCAAAGCCAAACAAAATATTTGAAAAAAAGATTCATTTTCTTTTTCAAAATTGACTTTCCATTAAATTATAAAACGTGTGGTCCTGACTCCTGCAATAGGAAATGGTAATCTTTTCCATAGAAACTTCATATATAAAACAAAATAAAAAAGAACTATAGTCGATATTGTCAAAATTAAAGAATAAAATAAAAAGATACACCTAGAAGAAAGAGGAAAGAAGAATAGTGCATGTGACATTTTTTTGGTTTCCTACCCGGTGTCCGGTACCTGCTTTGGAACTCGACTATATCTAAATTCGTACCACGTAGGGTTACATTCAGGGAGAAACGCTTTCTACCAAAGATTTTTTCATACCGAGAACTCGAACTCAGTACCTCTGATTAAGGGTTAGGCAGGTGGTAATGCATGTGACCTCTTACACTTTTGATTGTTTTTAAAAACAAAATCAAATGGTAGGATCCACCATCCACTCAATCCAGCCTTTTCTCATTTCAAAGGGACACCAAAGATTTGTTAAAGCAAGAAAAAGTCAAGAAAATCAACATAGGAAATCCTTAAGATTCTGATCTGATATCTGCATTCGTATCTCTCTTTCCCTTCTGTCAAATATTTTGCGTATCTTCTTGAAATCAACAACCATATCATCATGTCATTCCCTTCATATAATAACCTCACAAACACCAAACCACATAACCAATATTCTTTACAATACTACACAATTCACAAATTCAAAAATCATCATATTGGAAATGGCACAAGTTACAACAATGGATCATCAGTTTCATGTTCTAGCTGTTGATGATAGTATTATTGATAGAAAACTCATTGAAAGACTCCTCAAGACTTCTTCTTACCAAGGTACTTTGATATTTCATCTTTATTTCCCAAAAAATAAAAAAAAATATGTCAACTGTTGGATCTTGGTTTCTAATTTTTTTTCTTTCTTTCTATCTTTGTAGTTACTGTTGTGGATTCTGGAAGTAAGGCTCTAGAGTATCTTGGATTGTCAAGTAATGAGAATGAAGGAGTAGAAATTGACCATTCTCATGTAAGAGAAATTGGAATCAATTTGATTATTACAGATTATAGCATGCCTGGAATGACTGGTTATGATCTCTTGAGAAAGATTAAGGTATGTATACTGTGACAAAAAATTAAAAAATTTACCTTATTGAATTTTCATTATACAATTGTTTAGATTGTGTAAATTTTTTTATAAAATTGTTGACTAATAGAAATTTTGTCAAATTTACAGGGATCATCATCTTTAAAAGACATTCCAGTAATAATCATGTCATCAGAAAATGTTCCTTCAAGAATTAATAGATGTTTGGAAGAAGGAGCTGAAGAATTTTTCCTAAAGCCAGTCCAACAATCAGATGTGAATAGAATTAAGCCCCATTTAATGAGGGAAAAAAGACAGAAAGTAAGTCCAAATAGTCTCAAAAGAAAGGCCATGGTAGAATGCATATCTCCTGAGAAAACAAGAAAATACAACAATTTGTGTGGCATCTTTTGGCAGAACATTTGTGAGTAAAGAGATGTCAAATTCTTTAAGTTAATTTAAGGAGTTTTCTCCTTAATTGGAACAAGAAGGTTTCAAATGGAAGAAAAATCTAAGAGAAAAAAAGGCCACGGTTCAAGAGGGAGAATTTTCTCGGGAAAAATTTGGACTTGGATACCAAGAAAATGAATGCAAGACATGGATTTCGGAACATATTTAGATAGATGCCAATGTCCATACAATTTGAAACAATTGTTTTTTTCCAGAAACATACTTACTTGTAAATGTTTAAGATGATTAAAACTTCATTATGCAATTCTGGATAGGATTAGATGGCAAGGGAACTGGATTAGCTCTTTGTGTTGAGAGACATGATCCAAGTGATTTTTGTAAATTAGATTTACAGTGAAGCTATTGTAATTAATCTGATCTGATTTGGGTCTAATTTTTATCCTACTCATATACATAATCATATTTCCTTTTTGCTTTGAGAAATCAAAATAGTTTCTTGCTTAGTATTATAAGTTGGATGACCATCTGAGAAAAAAATCATAAGTTCAATGAATATAATGAAAAAGTTTACTTATTGGAAGGGCATGATCTTCTTCACTATAATTAATTTGTTGGACTTCAATTTTGAATAGAAACATTATATTATTTTTATTGACAATTGTTACTTCAATAATCACATAAATCAACCACCAATAATATGCCATCTTTTTAAATGATACGACATAAGCTAAGATGCGTTGTCCTACTACTTAATCTTCGGTATTTCAAGACTAAGTATTTTAGAATATCTACATTATTACTTTATATAATAATCATATTATTTAGCCTTTGCAAGAAAAGGATTTGGGCATCGACATTGTCAAATTGTTGGTCTTCTGTATTTGAAAATATATTAAAAAAAAAATGTAAAATCAGAAATGCAGAAGAACTGAATTAATCCGAGCCCACTGAATTCACAATGTTTCCTTAAGGAACTTAATCCCCTCCTAGTACCCGAGGTTTAGGATTATTCCTCCCAGGATAGAACGGATAACCTCACTGGTATAGCGGTACTTCAAACCTCAGTGACAACGAACGCAAAGAACAGTAGTAAATCACACTTATTGCTTTCTTTTCTGTTAAAACTTAAAACAATGCAGAAAGAAGAAGGAGAAATCAGAATTTTTGTAAGGAACATCTGAGGCAATAGTCTGCTAAAAATTAATCAATCAATCATTTGACAGAATCCAAAGCCGAAGCCGAGCCGAGCGACGACGACGATGGTGCGAAGCTTGCCTTCTTCTTAACTCTTTAAGAGATAGAAAAAGAGCAATTGTATATTGTTGCTCCCAAACGCACATGCAAGTATACGTGGTCGACAAGTAATATAGGATTGTAAGTCCAGATATCGTACCAACAGGGACTTATGATTAACTATCAACTAAATTAAACCCAACAATTAATCTATTCAAGTGAATCCAAAGTATGAATATTTAACTAAAGATAATCTAGAGTAACAAACTAAGAGATTAAAGAAAACAAGTTGGTGAATTATAGAGACGAATTCAATGTGAGTGAATATTCTAGAGCTATGGGTTGGCTAACAATCCCGTTGAGTTTTCTACCTAAATTGTCTAATTAATTTATCTAGTTTATTGGTTGACGGGGTTAATATTGCTCGTAGCCTTCCCCCGAAGTACAACTCGCCTATTCAAGCTAACCTAACGCCTATATTCCTATGGAATTAGGATTAACAAGAACGCATTTATAATTCCCGTATAATAACCAAGCAAGGCGATTAGGTATATTCCTATCCTAACCGCAAATCCGCTCCCCCTAAGAGTTAAGATCTTGCTCTACTCAATCTTATATGCAATCTAGAATTCCCTCTCCCGAGTTCAATCCTAGATTCGTAGATAGTATTCAATTGGTGATCAAGCAATCAAATAATTAAGCGCAAGATTGAATAAATAAACCAATATGATAAAATAATAAGAACAATTCAAGCTTCAAACTACAACGTTCATGTAGCACCCAACAACTCTAGAACAAATAAACTATAAAACTAAAAGAAGGGAAGAGAAGAAAAACTAGTTGAAAGCCTCCTCCAAGCGTGGTGTGTGTTGCCCCACGTGAATTCTCCTCCAAAGTATGTTAGATATCACCAAAGTGGCGTCCCCTTCTTCAAAAATAGGTTTAGTCTTGCTTTTATACGTGTTGGGTAGGTCTAGGGCCGAAATAACCTTGTCCCGGGCGAAATAGGATACATTTCACGTCACCGACGCCCAGCACGGCGCCAGGCACCCTCCATAGCGCCCAAATATTTGTGCATACTACCCATTCAAATTATGGAGTACTTTCAAGTTGAAATTTTAAAATATTTTAAAATAAAAATAATAAAAAATAAAAAACTAATTACTTAGTAGTTCTCAAAATATTAAGTCAATTAACAAGTTAATAAAAAGTCAAACTAGTAAATGTATAGTACCAACTATTTGCTAATTTGACAATAAAAATAAATAAGGAACAAACAATTTATTTGTTACTATATAATATGTATCCTTTGAGTTTGTATAGATTTTGTTATATTTCTGTACACTATATTAAATAATAATATATAAATAATAATTATTAAAGTAATTTAATATATTAGATCATAATTTTATAAAATTAATATTCTGTCAAATTATTTGCGCATGGTTCTAACACTAGTTATATAAAATAAATCTAGCGTAGTATTTGTTTGATAAGAACGACGTAAAGATCAATTAAGTCAAAATCAAACAAATGTTAAAATTTAAAATCTTACTATGGACCTTTACATCTTGTTTGGATGGTTGTTACCTATTTTATCGTATCATATTATTACTTTAAATACATCGTTTATTTTGATTGTTAAATTTTACTGTATTGTATCGTTACGTAACTACAAAGTGTCACTTTATGCTACAACGGATTTGGTGTAATGGTGTCATTTTTTTTTTCTCCTCTTTTTTATCCTTTCTTATTATTGAATAATTATATTTTATCATGTACCCTACTTTTTTATATATTAATTCTATTTCGTATCCTATTTTTTCTTAGTAATATTGCAAATTTATTATTCATACTATTGGTGCCTGACATCATGAAACGATGATAAACAATATGATATATCTAAATATTGTATTCATCAAACAATACAATACATTGTAGTACAATACAATTCGATACATTAAACGACACGTAACAAAAATCTAAACAAGCATTTTAATCAACGGTGTTGGAATGGCTTAAGCATAAAAAAATATCTCCCACAAAAATTGCCACTTTGCAGGGAATTGTACCCTCAGAATAGCAAAGAACAATCTAAAACTCCAATAATTCAATAATCCAAACGAGGCATCACTATTTGTCCAACTAAGAAAGCTTCAATATTTGACAAATGTCACACCATTTCTTGTACGCATAAATCACCATCTTTCATTCTCACTCCCCACTCCATTTTCCTTTTATCTCCACTTTGTTTCTCTTCATTCGCTGGCGAAAAGCAAAATAAAATGATGAGTCTTTCTCTTTCTCTTACCCTCTTTACTCCTACACACTGTTTTGCTTCCTACAATAAGCAGCGTTATGCTTTGAGATCTCCTCAATGTCATCAAACTAGGATTTCTCATCACAAGTTGCAGCACCGCTCCAGTTTTCTTGGGTATAACCCTCTCAGGTAAGTTAATTATCATTTGTTTGAATGATTCTATATGATAAATTCATTTCACTTTGGTCTATTTTCCCTCTTTAATCGTTTTGTTTGATTTTTTTTTTCTTTTACAGAGTTTCAATTGATTTGAGTGGAGGGATGATGAGGCAGAGACGTGGAGGGGCTGTTTGTTATGTTGCAGCTCTTGCTCCTACAAATCTACAGTGGGTCTGTGCTATCTCCTCTCTGTAAGTCTCCTTTTACTTAATTGTTATGCTTATTTTGCTGCTATGTTTGCTGTAAAATTGGAGCTTCTAAAGTTTCGATTTTTTTTAGTTTTAATTTTGACCAAGTGAATTGGGAGTATGGGGAGACAAATTAAATATACTAAAAGACCCCAATCTCATAGTTGTAGGGAGCATATGAAGTCCATTAAAGCATTTACATTATTCAAGCTGTACACCAAACAGCTAGATTCAAAATGTGATTAGCTTTCATTAGAACATCTACAGTTCCTCTCCATCCATAAGGGCCAACATGATGCATTATGGGATTGTGTGACCAAGCTTTCTAAGAGAGTTCTGTGATCTTTTCCCTGTTCAACTATGATATGTATCTCTAAGGGATTCGGCATTACCACTGGAACCAAGGTAGATTTAGAAACATATTCTGTATGTCAGTAATCACGTCACAGTGTAGGGAAAAAGGAGATACATTTTATCACCTACTGCACAAAACAGTCTCTCTCTCTTGCTCAGATCTTCATTTTGTGCTGTCCAATTAAAACTAGACACTCTTAGAGGAGCCTTAGTTTTTCAGATTAATCGACGAGGCCAAATCCAAGATTCATTCCTCCGTTCTGAAGCATATGATAACACCCGTATCCAGTAAACCTCTTTTGCATCCTACTAAATCTTCCTTTTCAATAATCCAGGCTTTCAATTCAGTTGTCAACAAGGAGGTAATCCTCTCCAATTTCCAGTCTTGACTCTCCTCTTGAAGTGATACTCCGCCTATTATTTTCTCTACAATAGGCTATTGTACATTTAGGATGTGGCTGTAGCTGAATAAGTTTTTGAATTCCTCCTTACGAGGGATGTGACTAAACCAGTAATCCTGCCAAAATTTGATCTTCATACCATTTCCCAGTTCAACATATAGATGTTGCCTCTGGATTCTTCTCATAGATTTCACATATGCACCAATGGTCATGTAAAACTTCTCTCTATATGATTGTAAGTCTATTTCGTCTCCTTTTAACCCCTTCAATGATCACATGATGGCACATGCGGACCAGTTCAGGACATGGCCAAACTCCAAGCCATCTCGTATAACTTTATCGCAAGATTGCGTAGAAAACCATATCCTTTTGTAAGGTTTTTTACTTTTTGGTATACTCCTTGTATATGGGCATGTTTTGCCCTTTTTTTAATGAAATTTATTACTTTATCAAAAAAAAAGCTTTCTGGCATTTTATCCTCCATGTGTGCAACTTAGACTTTCAAAGCTTCCAGGTTACTTGATGATTAAGGGTCATTTACATGCTTATGTTTGTACTTGATATTCCAAGAAGGTGTACAAGGAAAACAGGCTGCTGGTAGCACCACTGGTTAGAAGCATCAGCCAGGAGAGAGCATTGGCCCTTGGCATTGGCACACTAGCTTTGTTTTCCAAGCGCACTTTCGTTAATGCTTGAATTAACCTGACACTGTGCACGATCAAAAAGATAAAAAGAGAGGGACATTTGCAGAAGTCTTTTGTATAGACTGTACACTTGTTCCCGCCATGTAACATTAGTTAATACGTTTCCTGGGATTTATTTTTGCGTCTCTTTTTTCTAGAGTCTGAGTGCATATTAATTTTCTTCCATTCAAGTTTGTATTCTTAGAAGATTCAAAGTCCATGCCCCTTGATTGATAAGTGTTGTTTGAAAGGATTTAGCCTGTGTAAAAATTTAGATGCTTGCCAAACTTGTTCTTTTTGGCATAAAGAAAATTTTCCTTTTAGTTTATCTCACTTTTTGGACTCTCTAGGTTCTGTTTTTGGGTAGTGTTTGATGGAGTCCAGACTTCTGTAAAATTTTCTGTACGTACTTGGTACTGTTTATCAATAAATAGTTTACCTTACCAATCCAAAAAAAACTCTTGTGTAATTTATGACAAAGAAACTACTTTTGTTTTCCAAGTAAACCTTGTGCTGCATGCTGCACCATAATTTGGATATTGCAATCTGACTGTCGTTGAATTTTCTAGCGTTCTCATGATTGCAAAGGGCACTGCTATTCACAAGTCCTTTCTTGTTCCTTTATTTGCTTTACAAGCTCCTACGGCAGTTGTCTCATGGATCCAGTAAGTTTCTTTTAGCATCTGTGAACTAGGTCGTGCTTACCTCTTTAAGCTGGACGTTCTCGCATTACAGCAAACTGATGAAAAATGACTTTCAGGGGTGAATATGGTATTTGGTCTGCATTTTTGGCACTTATTGCTCGTCTCTTCTTCTCCTTTCCTGGTAGGTCTGCTGGTTGCTGCCTTTATTATGCCTATGATTTAAACCTCAAATGTAGAAAATTGATTATCTTTGTTTTTTGCTATATGTATTTTGTATGTTGTTGGATAGCATTATCCAGCCAATATTCCCTAGTGAAGCAGGCTAGTAAATTGTACCCAGTGCTTTTCCTAGTCCTGTTTTAAGGTGAAGATGTCAGCCATTTTTTTGGGCTAGAAACTAAGGGAATACTGCTGAACTTTTGCATGTTAACAACTCTTAGTGAATTTAACATGATAAGTCAAGGAACAGGATAAATTTATAGTAGGAAGCAGAATCAGGATCATGTATTCATGCTGTTTAGCAGAAAATTGTTAACAGACATTGTGAATTGAGCCCGTTCTGTTTTACCAAAGGTGATAAGTAGATTGTTGTGTTTGGATGCTGTATGTTTTAAGCTACGATCAATCACACAGATGATTTTCTTCGAAATATCTGACTTTGATCTTGACCATTTGTAGGTGAATTGGAATTGCCATTTGTAGCATTGTTGATGGTAATTGTGGCTCCTTATCAAGTTGCAAACCTAAGGTTAATATATCTTCCTCAATAAATAAACGTTCCTTATTCTGGTGGACTGGAGTTATATCTGATTCATATTGCTTGGCAGGGGAACAAAGGAAGGTGTTATTCTTTCCTTGGCAATAGCAGCTTATCTGGGTTTCCAGCATTTCACACGTGCTGGCAGCTTGCAGAAGGCATTTGATCAAGGTTCAATAATTGCCACCCTAGCCATCATTTGTATTGTTGCTATGCCATGCTTGCTCTTGATTTGACTTGAAACTACAGTGATTGCTCAACTGAGTCCCATAAATTATGAGTCATTTGAGGGGTCAAGATCACACTAATTAATATCTTTCTTTAAGTCCCTCTTATGTTAACTTCAAGCTGTATATCTAGTCAAGTATGTGGGACAAATTAGGTTAAATGTATTCATGCAGGAATAAATTAAATGATCACTGTGAACAAGCTTTCATTTGTATCCCATTAAATTCTGTACCTCGGGTAACATTTTGGATACTTATCGACGAAACAAAATGCTTCTTATTTTGGGTTTTACCGTTGACCTAGAAAAAAGAAAAGTGTCTTCTTTGGGCTCACATTGCATGGAATGAGTTTGCGAGTTCCAATGGTTCCTCCATGGGACAAAGAACCCTCCTTTCAGATTCTACTCAAAACGTAAAAGGCTAAAGTTGTAAAGAGGGACTGACTGCTTCTTGTATAAGCATAGTGTCGGCACTCGGCACCACTGCCATGCAGGACTTGGACATACATTTTATACGTTCATCTTTCTTGAAGAGTGAAGTGGCTTGCAGGGCATGTTTTCTCTATTGAGGTCTTCCCATTTTAACAAACTGTTGAATTCTAAGACGAGTTAACATTCTTCTGAAGTAGTCCAAAATATTCTAACTCAATTTTATTATGTCTCTAATGTAGCTGTATAAAGAGAGCCATCTATCTTGCCCCATTTGTTTCTGATAATGTACTTAAAATAAGTAGTAACTGGTGCGAGGAAGAAAAAAGCAAAAACAAAAAGAGGTTAGAGTTTCAATTGATTCTTCAAAATTAGTTGTGCTTTTGCAATTTAGTGGTGTGCTGCTGTGTTCTCTGTATATGAGGAGTAGCACACTTCATATGCCGTTATTTGGACGACAAATGGTAGATCTTATTAGTTCCTGTCAATGGGTCGGTTCCCGAATTTTGTACATAACTCTTCATTGAAATGATCCTAAAACGAGATATTGTGTCTAAAATATTTATTAACTGCAGAAATATTTTAATAGAGAATTGGCTACATTAAGATGTTGTTCTTCACTAAGTACTGGCTTCCTACTTGGACTAAAAGCCATAAATGGATGAATTATAGCAAGTTTAATGTGTTGAAGACTTGAAGGCCATGAGGATTTTCACATCTCATGATGATTCGGCCTCTTTAGAATCAATGGAAGTATGGAGACAACTAGTGTCTTCCTGCAGCCCCAGTGAACAATGTCTTGCCCAATCTGTTCAGAAATGAGTTATTGCAATTGCCACCATGAAAGAAGCCATGGAGAAGAGTAACTGGATGTTGCTTGATGAGTTATCTGCTCCATTGGGACTACCTGTTGGCTCTAAACCATAATCTGTTGGTTCTGAACCAGAACCATTCTGTCCAACTGGGGTGTATGGATTTACCGGCGTCATTGTGCTGCAATTGCAAGGAAACAGGCAAACATCTTTACTTTTCTTGCTTAGGAGATAATTTAAAATCTCAAATAATTTCAGATAGTTTATACCTAGGACTTGGAGGTGGCAGGGTGGGAGGTGGCTGTGCAGGGGGTGTAGTAGGGGTTGTTTTTGATGATGCATAGTGACAGCTCCCAGAGCCTGCAGCAATGAAAGGAAAAATTAGAAGCTTTGCCAACTTTTTTTGGATTAGCAGATTGAAAAATTACTTATATGTGACGTTTAGTAGGTTAGGTGTAGTCTTCCACTTACTTGGGTCAGTATTAGTAAGTTTTGCTGTTCCCCCAAAGTCACAGCTTGTGGGAACTGGATTCTTTTGGTAGTAGTCATTGAAAGCATAGGAAGCATGGTCTTTAAGTGTGTTTGGCTCATAGCAGCTTGCACCAGATTGAATAGTTGCACAATCTGCACCTCCAAAGCCACAAGCATAGTCCAGTGCTACTTGCAAAGCAGTTGGTGAAGCACTGGGGCTGGCTATACACCAAGATCCAGTAGATGGCCCCGGATTGTTGGTCGGGCTTGGGTTTGGGTTTGGATTTGGATTCGTATTCGGGTTTGGATTTGGGTTAGGATTCATGGGCGGGTTTGGGTTTGGGTTTGGGCTAGGGTTAGGATTCGTGAATGGGCCAGGGTTTGTGAATGGGTCTGTGGTAGATGGCGGGGGGATATCCATCGTGGGGGGGTTCGGATTAGGATTCGGGTTTGGATTTGTTGTACCGGGGGTTGTTGGATTAATAATGGGAACATCTTGCTGGGTAGAGAACATGGAAGGTGAAATGGCAATGTCCTCCTCTTGGAATGCTAGTTTTTTGCTTTTTCTGATGGCTTCTCTGGAAGGTTTGCCCGCAATGCTTGTACCTGAAGTAAGTAATACCAAATAGGTGTCAGTTCTGTCTTTCGTTTTTTCTTTAGATTCTGCATGTTGAAAGAATGAGTAGTACATCACAAGGTTGTTTGATTCCAGATTACATTCTTGAACCAAAGAATTTGTGTTATTAGCAGTTCTTGTATTAGGTACATCTTCAGAAACATGGAGTTTCATAAGAACCTACTTTTTGTGTTTTCCAATCAAAAGACAATTTTGTTATCTATGGATGAAATTAAAATTTCGTTGATTTAAGTACTTTTTTTTACTTGGACAAAGGCAACTCTTTTGACTAAGCTTTTCTGTTTAGAATTTTTCATTTAAGTAAGCATTATATTTGTGCCAAAACTTGACTCATGAAAATTTTGCAATGACTTGTATGTCCAAAATCCGGATTGATTAAATCATAATGCTTCAAATAGATTCATCCAACAGTTTGCTGTAAAGGTGAAAACTTAGAACAGTATATGCATGCAAAAGAATATTTTGATAGTAAGCCAATGAATTTCAAATCAATGAATTCAAATGAGCGGTAGAAAATTGTATAATTCATTCAAACAAAATGATATTCCTCTCTTCCCAGCATAATCTCACGCAGTGGGAAAAACTATCTGATTAAGAGAAATTCACTATCTCAGATGCCTAAAAAACTTGTAAGTACTATGAACAAATAAAAAGAAAATTTAGTATAACATGAAACTTAGTAGGCGTTTGGACATAAAAATTACTAGTATTTGGAGTTAAGCTGAAAAAATGTATTTGGAATTTAAATAATATTTGGACATGCATTTCACTTGAAAAAATATTGTAGTTTTGTGAGTAGAGAAAAAAGTTTTTCCGAAAAAATTGAAAAAGTGGTCAAAATCACTTTTTGATTTAAAAAAACTCATTTTCGAAAAATCTCCAAAATCTTACAATATTTCATGGACAAACACATTTTTGAAATAAATTTTCAGAAAAAAGAAAAAAAAATCTATAGACAAATGGGACATTAATTTTTTGGAATGGAAAAATCGAAAATTAGCTTTGGCAATTCATGATTGCAAAAAATATCTATAGTCCAAATTGTTAACCGAAGACTACAATATAAAGGATCAAAAGACAACAAGTAGTAGTAGAAGTATCACCTAAAATTTACTACTAGCATTTAGAATTATATACCATACCAAATTATTTGGTATTGAGGTGTAGTTATTATTGTCGTATATTTTAAAACATTATAAAATAAACGGGAAAGATATTGATATTTACCTGAAAAAATAAGGAGACAAAACAGGAAGCAGCAAGAAATTTTCATAGCTACTCCTTCAATAGATTTTGTATACTTGTTCTTCCTTGTTGTTTTCTATTGGAGAGTTTGGGATGAGAATAATATAAGTAGTTTCTCAACGAAGAGAAGTGCTATAAACATAAGCTGTAAAGAGGAAGCAATCTTTGGTTGTTGCATGTAATATGTATATATAATATAAGGTATGATAAAGTTAAGGAGGGAACAGAATCCTAGCTTTCTTGCATTAGAGTACAGGTTTTTAAGTTTTTCATTGAGAGGAATATAAGAAGACTTGAGATACGAGGCATTCGGTAGCTAGAAACTTCAAGCAATTGGAGGTGCCTAAATAGCAAAAGGTTGTCCCATTAAGGCAAAAAGCCAACAAAGGTAATCTAGTTTTGGATGCAAATCTCAAGTTTCTCATATATATAGCCTAATAATTACACATTATAGTAATTTTAATGACTTATACATTTGTCATAACTCGAAGGGGAGCTTCGAAGCTACGGTAAAGTTATCTCCGTGTGACCTATAGGTCACGGGTTCGAGCCGTGGAAGCAATCACTAATACTTGCATTAGGTTAGGCTGTGTACATCACACCCCTTAGGTGCGGCCTTTCCCGGGCCCCTGCAAGAATGCATGATGCTTTGTGCACCATGCTACCCTTTTTCTTGTATATTTGTCATAAATTAATTATAGTGTAATTCGTAACGTCATATTTGGTTATACAAGTAGTAATTATATAGTTAAGTTTTTAAAATTTTAGAAAATAAATATTAATAATCCTATAGCATTTCTATACGAACTTTTTTCAGATGTTCTATAAAAGTGAATTCCTCAGTTCGAAATTTCAAATTTTTTGTTTCCCTCAGATATTCTTCCTTTATACTATGAATTAAAATTAAGGTGGTTAAGTTTGTGAGAATTTTCGTCCCTCTTTTCTGTCTAACTTTTCCACTGTTACTAACGACTACTCAAGAGGTAAAGTAAGGAGAAGAAAAAAATGGCAGATTTTTGTTGTTATTACTTGCTTTAAATTTTATGCTCTGAGGCTAAAAGTTGTGGGATATCTTGTCAAATTTCCCTTTGCCAATTCGACAATCTTATTAAGTGTATAGATTCAAACTGTCCAAAGAAAAGCCTATAGAAACCACTACGACATAATGTTATCTTTTCACCTTTTATAATACTTAGGTGACAACATTCTTATAATAATAATTACATTTTGATACCATACTTCATATTAGCAGCCTAATCAAGATTCCTAACACATAATAGAATCATATTTACACTTTACATAATCAAAATATTGTTGTCCACATGGCCAAAGAAAAAAGAAATACCAGAAAGGAAAATTAAGGTAACTTATCAACTTTACCTTTTCTGGCCCCTGCCCCTTTTCTCAGGTGTTACAAATCTTTTGGAATTTAATCATTACTTTGCTCCAAAGTATCCTTGGCCTGGAGATAAACTATTCCCGAATTCAATGTAAAATGGATATAAAATCAAGGATTTAAATACACTGATAATATACAATACATGTTCAATTAACCGGCTATATGGCTATAGCAGATTACTATAAACATCAGGCAATGAAGTTATTTGTGGTATTACCATTTTACCAATAATCTGACCCTTTTGCCATTACTCTCCGGTCTCCCCATGAGTGCAAGTAGTATTCAATTTCAGAGACTAAAGATGGAGGAATCTAACAATTAATAATTCTTCATTATTCTACTGCAAACTTCAATTTTTGTATCTCTCCTCAATGAGTAGTAATATCTAAGCCTCATTTGGTAACATCTAAGACATAGTTGTGTTTTTTATCCAAAAACATTTATCATCATAGAATCTCTTAATCCACTTTGTTACCAACTGGTGGAACATTTCATCGCTACACGAACCAATTAAGAGAGATAAGTGAGAAAAACTTTAACCCCCTTTGAAGCGTCTAAATCCACCGATGAGGCATCAATGTCCTCTGTCATTCATTTAGTTCAATATGAGGCACACATTCCTTCACAAGATTGATTTACTCAAAAAATATGTATACAATATTGCATTGTTGTACATCAGGCAAAATGCTAGTTATCTATGTACACAGCTTGTGCTACTAGCATTCACTGGCTCCTGCCATCAGTAAGATTAAATACAAATAACACACCTTCGCTGGTTCTTGCTGCTATTTCACCATTGTGGCCAGTTGTGCACTTGATCTGATTAAAGTTGCTGATATTGATTTGATTTGTGCTTCAAGTTGATGCCCAGACAATAGGAGGTTTGGAATATGTATCCAATCTTGGTTTTGTCCTGGTGGTGCCCAGGCAAAGGGGGAAGCTAAACGACTATGAAGGTGAACATCTGTTAAACGCATATCAACCAAGTGTTGCACAATCATAGGACTAGCCCAAGTTCATCCATCATGGTGAGGAATCAGAATGGCACAGAAAGGAAAACGAGCAAGCTGTATGTAAACGGAAGTGCTATTATAAGAGACCATAAGCTAATACAGAAACAAGAAGAAGAAAATACGAAACTTTACCTTATCCTCCTTGTGGCTTATGGCACTTTGACAGACGATTGGTGACTTCACTCCAAGCTGCAAATATTATATAGTTTTAGATTCAGAGAAACAATATGCTGTTAACACATGTAAATATCTTACCAGGAAAATTCCTGAAATCTGGGTCAACTCCATTTCCATTAATATCCAAGTTATTTGGTGTGACATACTTCCCGATTGTTACAACCACACCCGAGCCATCAGGCAGCTCGAACACGGACTGAATCAGCCCCTGCAATGATGCGAAGAATACAGTGATGTTGTAACTCAGAAAGAAGAACCAGCAAATCTACCCTCCCATACACCAGAACTTTGTAGCTATGGTAAAAATATATAGTTGGGTTTCAAGCTACTTCAACCTCACAGTGAAAGGCCATATACAGTGCCAACTGCACAGATCTCCTCCCAACAACTAAAATGACAAAAGGCAAATATACTTAATTCACGGTCTGAGAAATTAACTGATTACAGAGCAATATCCTTAAAATAGTCCCCTTGGGATCTGGTTACCCAAATAATGGTTTTTCTTTGTACAGTTCCTTCCCCTGACTTACTTAGGCCGTTAAGTGAGCTTGTGTAATTGTATTCATCTCAGCACAACTCTTCTCCAGACAGCTGTGCAATAGTTGCAGCAATTTCCAGGAGCACGTCTTCCCAAATAGAGTACTGTTAAAGGAGCTGCAACACAAACGCCTCAGATAGGGAACAGGAAGGAGCTGAGATCCCCGACTCAGCCACTCTCTGTTCTTAAGTAAGTGTTCACCTCTTCAAATCAAATGAATATGTTAATTACCACCAATGCTAGTTGCTTTTCCTTTGGCTGCTAACATGCGCCAATGTGGAGGTCTATTAGTCCTGGCAACAACAAATAGTGGTACCAGACTAGCTAAGGATTCAATTAGACCCCCTTTACATAAGCAGGACTATAGCACGGGAAACCATAAAGAAGATAGATTTTTAAGGTTGATAGTTAATGGAAAAGGCTTCAACTGGTAGACATAATTGGTTCTATCAGATGATTCAGAAAGCATTGATTATTATTCAATTGAAATGAATGATTTGATATTCTAATCTCTATAATGACTGAAATGTCAACGATCATATAATGTGAAAAGAGACAACTTCATTAGGGCTGTAGTTCGCTCATTCTAGATGAAGAACCTTTTATTTTCATCTTAGTCACGTAAAAATCATAACCAACAAGAGTATGCCACAGTTGACGATGAATTGTAGAGGTCGCAGAGTGGGTATGTGGGTCTTAAATGGATTGCACTAAAGGTCCTCAGAGCCCCATGCACATTAGTTATCCAACTATAATTTTGGCCTCAGGCCTATATATGTTAGCCTCATCCCCTTTCACAAATTCCCCAAGTCCCATGCATATTCGATTTATTTCTATCGTGCTTATTTTTCCAATGATAGATAATTCATGAAAGAGGAGACAAAATCATGTCATGACGAAGATAAGATGCCGCAGACAGGGTAATCATGAGTCTATATCAAGCTTTTGTACTTGTTTGAGAACTGACGAATGGGATGACCATAATGCAAGAGGGGAAAGTAGGGTAAGAAAGGAGCGATGGTAAATGTTCAGATTCAGTCAGGTCATCATACATGAGTATACACTGCACAGCATTTTGATCTTGGAAAGTTAGAAATTCCCAAGTTATACCTAATCATGTATCTGATTGGAAACACTTTCTGGGGGAAACAAAGAAGTCTTGTTTAGTTAATAAATGTAGCGTACCGTTGACAGTTACTTTACAATTTATAAAGATGCACTTATACCATCTAGTATGCCCATAAAGAAGTTCAAATATTGAAAAGAGAGACTACGTCAATATGGATTCACGGACGCCAAAGACAATAACTATAAATTCAGACCTTGCCATATGTCTTGTCTCCCACGAGAACAGCTCTACAGTTATCGTGAAGTGCAGTTGCAACCTGAAGAGAAATTCAGAAATTAGAACACAAATATTTCAAACTTCAAGAACTGGTGCAACAATATAGTGTGAGTAGCTCACAATTTCACTGGCACTTGCAGTTTTTTTGTTAACCAATACCTGCATTGGAAGTCACTAAGGCCATCAGAGTGGTAAAGACAAATAGTAACATTTGCGAACTAGACAGAGAAAAGGCAATATTCCTAAATTTGCAACATTAACCACAGCCATTCCACGATTCTATAGTCAAGAAACCAGAAGCCATAAGCTTAAAATCAAATTGTTAGATCTGTATCAGTTGTGTATTTCATTTATCCACTTCTTTTAGCAACTTCAGCAAATTTAAGGAATCTACTCTAAGTTTGAGCCATGCAGCCACTTATGATTCCATATAATCAGGAAAACATTAGCACAAATGACCAAACTGTTACATATGAATAGCTGCTTTTCATTTATCCACTGCTCTTACCAACTTCACCAAATTTAAGGCATCAAACGTTAAATTTTGAGACAGCTTAAAGCAAAGACCCAAGCTAATGCTGAGGCATGAGATATAAGAGGATTAGAAGTCGATATCTAACACTTCTTTAGACTTATATGGTAAAACTGCAAACTTTGACAGTGAAAGTGTGGGAGAGGGTGGTTGAAGCGAGGGTGAGGATGACAGTGTCTATATCCGACAACCAGTTTGGATTCATGCCTGGTCGTTCTACGACCGAAGCTATATACCTTGTTTGGAGGTTGGTGGAACTGTACGGAGAGAGGAAGAAGGATCTGCACATGGTGTTTATTGACCTAGAGAAAGCGTATGACAAGGTTCCTAGAGAAGTTCTCTGGAGATGCTTGGAGGCAAAGGGTGTGTCGGTCCTCTACATTATGGCGATTAAGGACATGTACGATGGGGCTCGGACTCGGGTTAGGACAGTATGAGGCGACTCTGAGCATTTTCCGGTTGTAATGGGGTTACACCACGGTTCGGCGCTCTGTCTGTTCTTATTCGTCCGGGTGATAGACGCGTTAACACACCATATTCAAGGGGAGGTGTCATGGTGCATGCTATTCGCCGATGACATAGTTCTGATTGATGAATCGTGAGCCGGTGTTAACGAGAGGCTGGAGGTTTGGAGACAGGCTCTTGAGTCTAAGGGTTCCAAATTGAGCAGGACGAAGACAAAATACCCGAAGTGTAAGTTCAGCACTGAGCCGGGAGAAGTGGGCGTGGATGTGAGGCTTGAATCACAGGTCATCCCAAGTAGAGGCAGCTTCAAGTACCTTGGGTCGGTGATCTAGGGGGGAGGGGAGATCGATGAGGATGTCATACACCGTATTGGGATAGGATGGATGAAGTGGAGGTTAGCATCTGGAGTCCTGTGTGACAAGAGAGTGCCATCGATACTCAAAGGTAAGTTCTATAAAGCGGTGGTTAGACCAGCCATGATGAATGGGGCTGAGTGTTGGCCTGTTAAGAACTCACATATCCAGAAGATGAAAGTAAGAAATGAGGATGTTGAGGTGGATGTGCGGGCACACTAGGATGGATAAGATTAGGAACGATGATAATTGAGAGAAGGTGCACGTGGTTCCCACTGATGACAAGATGCGGGAAGTGAGGCTCAGATGGTTCGGGCATGTTTAGAGGAGAAGTCCAGATGCTCCGGTAAGGAGGTGTGAGCGGCTGGTTGTGGAGGGCACAAGAAGAGGTAGAGTGCGGCCTAAGAAGTATTGGGGAGAGGTGATCAGGCAGGATATCGCGAGACTTCAGATTTCCGAAGACATGACACTTGATAGGAAGATGTGGAGGTCGAGTATTAAGGTTGTAGGTTAGGAAGTAGTCGAGACTTGCCTTACTTCGTACCTTTGTGAGACTAGTCTGGTAGGGTTTTTGTCTAAGATAGCTAGTGGCAATGTTGTGTCTTACTATTTCGGTTTTAGTGCAGGACCTATTTTACTAGCTACCGCTTTTGCTTTGCATCTTTCTTCTGGATTTCATGTTCCTATTTTTCCTATCATTTTCGTGGTGATACTAATATTGTCTCCTTTTGTCTTTTTGTTTTTTGGAGCCGAGGGTCTTTCAGAAACAGCCTCTCTACTCCTTCGGGGTAGGGGTAAGGTCTGCGTACACACTACCCTCCCCAGACCCCACTAGTGGGATTTTACTGGGTTGTTGTTGTTGTTGATAATACTAATGCAATTGTTCATTTAACAAAAAACAAAGAGAAAACCTGCAATTTAAGAAAGTTTTGAAGGATTCTTCTATTTTACAGATGATGTCATTGATGTGGCTCTTATATAATGAAAATTGCAAATTTCATTCATGAAGAGTCTCTTACAATTACTGGAGCTGTAATAAGAGGTGGAGCTTCTGCAACAATATTCCTTCTATACTGTGGATCCCTTCCAACAGTGGAAATCACCTGCAAATACATATATATCTCAGAATAAAAGCTTCTTACTGAACGGTAAGTATTTAAAGCTGATAATTCAAGCATATCCATATCGCACAAAAGCTAATGTTCCATATAGAAGACGAGAACTATGGTGTACCGTGTCTCCTTCATTCAGAAAAAGTTTCGCAATTTCAATGCCAGCCTGAAAGGAGAAACGTTGCCACTTTATATGCAAATAAACTGTCAAACTCATAGACCAAATCAAACAAGGGGTAAAGGAAAACCTGCACTAGTCCACCTAGGTTATCTCTGAGATCAAGAACAAAAGATGAGGCACCCATGCCTTCAAGTCGCTTAATTGCTGCAGAAAAAGATGCTTTTTTTCAATTGCTGAAACTGAAAGAGTTCAGACCATGTCTCAGGTGTGAGATATCCAGAATGGACAAACCTTTTCTGGATAATACTTTCAATTCTTAACAAGTTAGGCCATACAGTCTAAATGCCAACAACACAAACTTTATTCCAGAATACAATAGCACACAATCTCCTGTCATTTCATCAGCTATTAGGTCTTGACGAATCAAGGATTTATGATTCTAACATGTAATGCAGTCAAACAAAGATGCCCAATGATTGGAAGATGTTGAGAGCTCCACAATGCAATTATAGTCATCACAGAGTTGTTTCAACTTGTTCTTCCAAGACATGCAAAACCCTCTTACTGAGATATGTATGTATTAAATTTTGTGCTTAAACTTGACTTCTGCTTTACTAGCTTTCAGCTTATCTGACAGAGCCATTAGGTACATAAAACCCTCTTGTGAAACAAAGCTGGACTTCATTTCATATTTATATCCTCCATTTTAATGTTTTACTTCTGGCATCAGCATCTTCGCATCTGCCTTCCCCCGTTATTCAAGTGATAGTTGTCCACTTACTGTTACACTCTTAACAAGAAAGTTTTGGTAAAAAGCAGAAAACCCTTAATTTCTTAGATGAAGTTCTTTAGTAGCACTTAAACTAGTAATATTCTCTTTCAGTTATTGTGCTCAACAGAGGGTTGCATATAGAACAGATAATTACCAGTAACCAAATCTTTTCTGGCCAATGCATTGAACTCCTTTAGGCGCACATAACCAACAGAAACAGAACCACTTTCAATCTGCTCCAGACGATAAAAAACCGGCGTCTTAGCAATAGACTGCCTCTCCACATCAATGGATTGAACAGGTCCACAATTTCCATGCTTAACCTGCAATTACATCATGAGAACCAGCATGAAGATATCATCGAACAGTAGACCTATTGAGGTCCGGCAATGTACGGAAACACAACCATGATGTTCACAAATGTCCCACTTGGACCTAGTAACAGCGAAGATGCTTCAAAGGCAGATTTATTCCGCACATTCACCCCATTCACTGACACTAGTTCATCTCCCTGCCACGAGGTCACATGAAAGATACACGTTAACTTTTGTCTACTGAATGGTAAATCAAACTAGAGAAGGGAAAACTGTAGAGAGAATGTAACGAAGTAGGGATACATTCAATGACTAGATCAAATGGAATAAACAAAATAAATTACAGAGGGATCAAACTCATTAGACCTGTAACTAACTCTTAATATGTGCAAAATCGTTACGAATAACGAAGAGCTTCCAACCAACTATTCAGTAGGTGAGATATAGTATTCTTATAGGCCAAATAGAAAACTTCCTATTAACTCTTTGAAGACCATTGCGAAGGGAAGTTCCATTAGATTAGGGAACTTCCATCTCTTTGCATGCTAGCTTTTTTAGAACATTAACGATTTAAAGAACTAGAAGAGATTATCAACGGCATGAAAGAATTTATTGAGCACTGCAATAGCAGAGCAGGAGATTTTCCTTCCTCAGCAAGGGTCAAATTCACTACTTCTCATCTGCCACAGTTTAGTTGATAGCAAAAGATAATCTGGTGCGTAAGAAGGGATAATACAAAGAGGAGGTGCTGCCCTCAACCCTCGAGATCATATGAAAAGGATACATAAGAAAGTTTCTTTTCTCACAAAAAAAGATAAAGATACATAAGAAAGCATAAGGATAAACAAGAAAGTATTAAACTTCACAATTCTCAAGCAAATAATTGAAAACAAACGACATTAAAGCCTGATAGCCATCAGAAGCTCGAAAAGGCACCTTACCCACAACCTCCGGATAGGTATAGGTCTAGTAAATTTCTAGAATTATGTGCTAAGTTTTTTTGTTTGTTTGTTTTTACCAAGGTAAAACTTAGTATTATGTGCTAATGATTATACCTATTGCAGCCAAAATAGCACATCTTCACGCACTTAAAATCACGAGGCATCATGCAGTACAAGACACCAAATAAACTAACAAGCAAGGTACAAGACACCAAATAAACTAACAAGCAAGGCCCCAAGCACATGTTGTGAGAAGGACTGAAGACCTTGAAGGAAAGCATATTGAATCAGAGGCTACTAGTTTGGCAGTTCAAAGCTTCTCTCTCCTTATTCAATTGTTTTAATAAATAAACTATGAAAAATTCTTTGCAGTGAGTGGCATCATCAAGTAATCATGACTATAATAACAGAGAGATTTAGCACTTCATCAACTACTTGTCCAATGGGGGAAAAAGAACATCAGCGCAAAAGTTGCAAATGCTTTTGTAGTAAACAGACCGTATACGACATACCTGTCGTACACCGGCGCTATGGGCAGGGCCATCCAATAGGAGCCCTAAAACCTTCAGTTTTGAACCTCCATTGCCATCGGGAACATCCCTGAGGTTAACTCCAATCCCAGTCATATCATATCTAGCCATCTTGGAGAACTTTCAGTGACAAGCAGTACATGTCATGGAACAAGGACACTGAAAGGTTTGTGAGTAAAAGGTTTTATTTGAATAAGGAAAATGCAATACAGATTTAGAAAGAAGGAATGAAGAGAAATCATCTATCTCATGATTTACCATACGATAACCATGCTTGACTGAGAAGATGATTGAAAGCCGAAAAATACTAAAAATCGTCTCTAACATACGGTTTCCTCCAATAAAATGGAAGGACGAGATAAGGAAGGAAAACTAACAAAATGAACTATGCGTACACAATCAGGACAATTATACAAACATATATTGGTATCATAAAAAAAAAAATATGTGGACAGAAAGTAAAGGAACTTAAAATAGTTTGATGCCCTAATGCTAACAACGAAGTGTCAAACCTCTTCCAAACTTCACTGATAAATACCTTTCAACCTCTAAACGGAAGTATATATCCAGTATACTTAAAGCTTTGTAATAGCGAACTCGGAAATATGATTTTTGTGCCATATAACTATCCAAACCAAAAAAGTTATTGTATTCCCATGTGTTAGTCTTCCATCCTTCCACAACAAATTGAATGCCAGTTTTAACATACATGTCAAGAAGTCAATCATCAACTGCACAGATGCAAATATAGGTGTAAAGAGAACTTTTTTATATACCTCTTCAGGAGAAAGAAAACGTGTATAGGGGTCACCCAAACTAGCCAACATCCGCTTGATGATATCATGAGCTTTTGACCTTGTCTGAATTGATGAACTTAAGATGTCATCTTTCTTTTTCTGGAAGTAACAAAATATTTAGTCATGGATTGATATGCAAGAGAAACCCTTTATCACAAAAGGATAGATAGAGAGAAAAATGTATACATACAAGCCAAGATTCAGGAGACCAAGAACGAGGGCTGGTGTTAAGAAAGCTGTCGTTCACAATCTGCCAAGCCTCTTCCACAATCCTTTCATTGCTCACCACTTTTGATACTTCAGTAGTGTACACCTCCTTCACCTCGTTCTCGGGGCAATTTAATGAGTTAGAAGATTCAAGTAGTGAAGGAGATTCCAGTGCAAGGATGGAATTAGGAGCAGAAACAAGAAGCCCCAATGATAGAACTAATGAGATCCCAGTTGATAGAGCTTGTTGAAGGGGTTTCTGTGCATAGTTGAGAGAAGCTTTTTTGTGAAGAATTGAGGTTTTGCGCGGTGCAAAGGAGGTTAACAGTGGTGGAGGTGAGGGGCTGTGGAGGAGCCTCATCTTCAGACTGAAGAAGTCTTTTCTTTACACAAACTATCGCAGTTTTGACACTTCCTACAATAGTACACTTATTAACCAACTTGGGGCGTTGTTACAGTTATGTTTACTATGAATAACACCATTGCACCCTTAATTAAGAGCCCATTTGGACATAAGAAATTTTTCACTTTTTTTTAAAATTTAGTGTTTGATCATAAAATTTTAGGAAAAATGTCAAACCTCTATGTTAAATAATTAGCTACTTTTATACCCGTTTCTACTTTCCATCTAAAATTATCCCTATCGTTAATATAATAACTAAAATTACCACCAATCCTAACAAATGTCCTACATGGCACCTGGGACCCATAATAATTTGCCAACTAAGCAAATATGAATCCATTTTTAAAACTCGCACAACCATATAGGATGACATTAGAACCCATTAATTAGTCTTCTTCTTTGTTGATTAAAGAAGGCCAATAGTCAGCCGGAAAGACAAATCATCTTCCTTACCAGGTCGGCACCGAAAATTTTAACCTAACACCCAGTTCGAATCAGCTCAAAATGCCTTAAACATTAGATTCAAATTCTAAAAAATATTTCCAACAAAATTTTATAACACCCAATTGAATTCTAGTAAAAGTTTTTTAGATCTGATTTTTTTCTTCTTTTTAATTCAAGGTTGAAGCTCCTTCAGTGGAGGCCAAAAATTTCTTCTCAAAGTAGATTTTCTCGCAACAAATCGATGAATGAAATCACTTCAGCCAACCGACTCCAGCTCTAAAATTAAAGTAGAACTGACATATTTCGAAAATCTCAAAAATCGATATACACAGTAATGGTCCGTTGTTAAATCCACGAAGTTAGATTTTTTCTTTTCAACAAAATGAAGTTAGAATACAAAATATTGATTAAAGTTGATTAGAGTATTACTATTGTGGAGTATTAAACATAGAATCTTTTATTTGGCAGTGAGAACCAGTGGGGATGGAGTTTAGTACGAGATGTCGTGGCTATGGTGTAGCTAACAGTTACCGAGTTTTGGCTATTTTATTGAGTGGACTAACGGGTTCATGGATAGTCAGTGAAATGGATCGGTCTTTTAAACTAGGTTCAGAATTTGCCTAGCTGTCAGTTTAGGAGAAGGGTCCCAGGTGCCCTGTAGGACATCTCTTAGGGTTAGGGGTAATTTTAGTTACTATGTTAACGGTAGGGACAATTTTAGACAGAAAGTAAAAACAAGTATAAATGTGACTAATTTTTCAAAGTAGAGGGACAATTTTAGCCCTTTTCCGTAAAATTTTCAATTTTCACTTGAAGATAGATTTTGGAATTTTCTGAAAATTTGAAAAACTTCAAAAGGCTATTTTTTAAAATTTTCACTCAGATTACTCGCAAAACTTCAAAAATAACCCAAAATTATATTTATGTCCAAACACAACTCTAAGCCCGTTTGGACATAGGAAACTTTTCCCCTTTCTCCAAAAAATTTTCATTTTTTTACCGAAATCTGCGTTTGTTCATATGATTTCGAATTTTCACTTGAAGATGCATTTTGGAAATTTTTGAAAATTTAAAAAACTCCAAAAAGCTATTTTCAAATTTTTTATGCTGGAAGTTCATACACAGGTGCACCAATCTTCAGTATATTATGCTGGAACTTTCCGTGTTGCAGCAAAATGTGGCTATTTTTCAATGACTTTACAAATGCTGGTTATTTTTTAATTACCAGTCCGAAAAACTGGCTAGCATGTGCTATTTTCACCTTTTTCTTTGAGCCAGAGGTCTATTAGAAACAACCTCTCTAACCTTCACAAGGTAGGGATAATGTATGCGTACACTTTATCCTTACCAGACCCTATTATGTGTGATTACACTAAATTTGTTGTTGTTGTTGTAGAAAATAAATAGTAATCCTGATCGACTATCCATGTAAAGATTTCAAACAAAAAACTTTGGGAGATTTTGCCCAATTTGCAACTATCACAGTTGACCAGTCAATCAAAAATAATTATATACACTACTCAATATATAAAAAATATACAATGATTATATATATTAATATATAAAAAGTATATATTTATAAACTATTTTAACTCTTACTCTCTCCTTTTCCTTTTCTCTCTCGGCGCACGTTAACGTGGACCAGCTAACGTGCGCTTGGAAGCCATGGGAGGGAGAGGTAGGCCTAAGAAAAATTAGCAGAAGAACGCTGTTGATGAACAACGATCAACGAAGACGAAGAAAGCAGCACTAGAACTATTTGTGTCACCTAAGGGAGTTCGAATTGAAGATCAAGTTGGAAATCTCACTCCGAGGAGCATGCAGAGTGAGATAAGCAAAGAGGAAGCAGATCCATCGCGGAATAAGGAAAAACTGAAGGCAATTGAAGTTACACCTACAGCTGTCGCGCCCCCTTTTTTCCCTCCTTGCGTCAGGAGAATCGGGTTAATGACATTTTGGGTATAAGACAACTCATTCCTTTGGGGAACTGGGTTTTGCATTTTTTAAGAGTCGCCACCTAATGATTTATGGTGCATTAGGACATGATACCAGATTATAACCGATTGGATCTTAAGCACATGATATCTAAATGGTGATAAACGTGCAGACTTTTAGATAATTCCTATAGACAGGTTATCTATTTGTGAAGTTGAACATGCAAGATTTAAAGTAAGTCCTATAGACATGGTTTCTAAATGCAGATTGAACATGCAGAATTGAAAGCAGTCCTATAGGCGTATTTTCTACCCTTGAGCATGCATAATTACCCATCCCTTTTCCACTAGCCAACCCCGATTGTTTATTACAAATTCACAAACCAGAAATACTGAATTACATCAAAATATAAATAAAAATTTTACAACCAGAGGAAGCCTGATTCTTGGTTCCTCCCTGAGCTATGGAATAAACTGCCTTAAGATGCCATGTTTCAAAGCCTTTCTCAGACCTAGGTGTGTCAGAGTTCCCTAAGAGTCTCAAAGGACCCCGGGCAGTGCTTACACCCAGGTTCATGAAACCAGATAGAGATGAGTGCAGTGTGCAAGGGCCAGCCCTTATGTGTCCAAGTTCAGAGGGAGCTCATGGGTCCCAAGGCAAGGCTCACACAAGAGGGGCAGAACTTAAGTCTAAGAATATGGTGAAAGTGCAGGAATAGAGTTTTAAAACTGAGGGGAGAAAGGAGAGGGATAAAGGGTGATAGGAAAACAGTAATAGTAAAGCACAAAGCTAATAACTTCATTCAAAAGGGGGTCAGGGGTTGGGAATCCATTGCAAAGAGCCTATGTACTTAGGCAGGGATTAGCTTTTGGGCATGCACAGCAATAGAAGGTGTTGGCGTACCTATAAACCAATCAGAACACACAACATCTAGAGGAGACATGGAGGTTATGATCCCAGGGGGATCGGGTTTGGGTCAGGCACAGCAATGTTCAAATGTTGTCATGCCCCAAACCAACCACAGATATCAATCACATTGGGGATGGGGATTTAGGAATCATAAGACATAATAAGTAATTGACAGAAGCATTAATTCAAAACAGAAAGGGCAGATTACAACATGCTTAATAATGGAACTTGGTTAAATACAAATAGGAGACAAACAAGGATGAAAGAAACAGTAAAGAAAAATATTGTTGTTGATGCGGAAAATTAGTTAGAACATACCAGTAAAGATGCGAATGCAGAGAAAAATAAGCAAGCTTCCCACAGCCTAGCCTTGGCTTTCAGTCGGCTAGGTAAGGCAGCAATACAAGTAGCAACAGAGGAAAGAGAGATTTTTAGTGAAGTATGTGTCTGAACTCAAGTGTTTTATGCTTTGTGTTCGTGTGTTTGAAAGAAGAGAATGTGGGTATTTATAGTTTTGAAAACATGTGAGAAATAAGGCAATACATAAAGCTCAATGCAAATATGGAAGTAATCAGCAATCAGAATCAATCAACCAGGCGATTCCCCTTTAATTGAGGAATCACTTGTTTAACGGGGCTAACAAGTTCAAAAGAAGGAAAGAAAATCAGTTTGCAGGCAGACTGGTTATTACCATAAAAGAAAGTAGTAAAACATTAAGTACACAATCGAGTCCAAGTACGGAGATACACTTGTTTTTGGGAAAAAGATTCAGCAAGGCAATAATAAGGAAAGGTATCAATGACTTTAAACAGGCGAGTAAAATTAGAGTTCACAAAAAGAGAAGTTTTGAAATCAGTCCCAAAATTGAGCATCAATCAAAGAAGGAACCTCAGCATATAAATAGAATGCACAAACAAAAGACATGTGAGGCCAAACTATTGGCAAAGAAACAGCATGCAATAGTAGTACAAAGTCAGTGGATAGCAAATATTCAAAGCATGATAGTCAAGTAGGGCAGGTCTCATTGAATCAGTAGTAAAGAAAATAGAGTGTCAGGAGCATGCAAAGGGTCTCACGGCATAGTCGAGTTTCAAAGATAGTAAGAACCCAGAATCAGAGGAATCATATAAGGGAAAGAGATGCTGAAACAAGGAACTTCAAATCAAGTCAGGCATTCAAACGAGCAGTTTCAACTCAAAGACATAGGTTTTCTTTAACAATATTCATGCTTAAAAGATGATAAACAAATAAGTTGAACAAGCAATTTAGAAACTCCAATAGACCCAAAAGAAATTAAGGTTTTCCAACCTCAATCGAGTTTAAAGATGATAAACAAATAAATCATACAATATTTAGCAAATAGTCTCAAAAACTAGAATGAACCCAAAAGAAATTAGGGTTTTCAACATCAATCGAGTTTATAGATGATAAACAAATAAATCTGACAATATTTAGCAAATAGTCTCAGAAACTCGAATGAACCCAAAGAAATTAGGGTTTACAACACCGATCGAGTCTAGAGATGATAAACAAGTAAATCAGACAAACACTAACAAATAGTCTCAGAAACCCCAAAAGAAATTAGGGTTTTTATCATGCTAAACTCAGAAAATTTATTGAAAAGAAGAACTTGAAGGAAAACCTTAATCAGAAAAAGATGAAGAGTCTTTTTTTTTTAAAGCAAAATTAAAGAGACCTCGAGAAGGCGTTTAAAAACTCATAGCAAGCATAGATATAAAGTGAACCTGAAAGGAGTCGAAAAATTCTTAGAGATTAGGGTTTCAGAAGAACCCCAAGTGACGAGAAATGCCTTGAAAGCCATCGATCTAAACAAGAGAGTAAAAGGTCTGACTCGAGTGGCCATGGCTGGCCGGAGAAAGGTCAGAGATGACCGGAGAAAGGCCATCGAGCAAGGACTGGACTAAGCCCCTTCAGAATCTGGTCATGAGACCACAGAACCAAACACGTAGAAGCCATGAGAGGCTAATACATGTCTTAGACGACCATAGAAAGCCATGGATTAGGGTAGATTAGGGTGGCGGCGACTAGGGTTTGGGGTTGTTGTAGAGAGGATTTAAGAGAGGAGGGGATTCAGAGGCGGCGTATGGTGGGAAATGATAGGGTTTAGGGGGTAGTTTAGAATTAATTTAGGTAAGGACGATTTTTGGCCGTTGATCTGAGTGATCAACGGCTTGGATTGAGCGGGTAAAGGGGCGGTTTAACGAGGCTGGGTTTGGGTCGGTTTAAATTGGAATTGGGTTGAGGTTAAATAGGAATTGGTCCAGGGTAATTGGGATTCAAATTGCGGTCCGATTTAGGCTATTATCGAAATGAATTGGGGCTAACATTTAAATAGCCAATTTTTCGTATTTGATTTATAAAAAATAATAAAATAATTTCTGAAAATAAATTAAAGGTAATAAAATAATTTATAGTACATGATTAATCATTTAAAAATACCAGACCTAATTTTATGAATATAAACACAATTAAATCTAAAAAGGGCTAATATTGCAATTATACGATTTTAGCCTTTAAAAAAATACTAAATGATTTTGTAAAAATATGCAAAAAATCTCTTAGCTACATTTTAGCATAAACATAAAGATCCAATAAATAAATCATCAAAACTAATAATTTTAGAAATAATTATTGGATTGTTATGGATAAAATAGGGGGATAAGTTGATTTAAAAAACTTTTAAATTAAGGACAAAATAAGAAAACACTTGGATATGCTTATATATGCATACATATGCTATTTTGAGGGTACTTTGCATATAAAATATACATAGGGAAAATTTGGGTATCAACAATAGCTACTCAAGCTATTGGAAGTGGATCTGGGAACGGGAAAACTCAAGAGCAAGCCAGGAACAACACCAGCAATGGAATAGTACCATGCAACTATGGTACTATTGAGAGCAGCAAAAATGATGAATCAAAGGTTGTCAAACAAGATCAGTCATGGGCAAATGTGGTAGCAGAGAATAAATTAGCCATGAAGGGTATGAATCTACAGTTTATGGCTCCAATCGTTCAAAATGGTGAGAAAATTGTATAATTAGAGGCTGAGGATGTTGAGCAGGAAAATGATAAATGGAGATCTGCGATTATTCTGTATATGATAGGGGATTCACCTACCATTGGAGCTATGGAGAGATTTCTAAGCTCAGTAGGTAAGTTCTCAAGGAAGCCACAGTTCTACTATCATAATGAGGGTTATTTTGTGATAAGGTTTAGTAATCTGGAGGAAAGGGACCAAGTGCTATACTCTGGACCTCATACAGTGAATAATAAACCTATAATCATGAAAGCATGGACTGAAGATTTCAATGTACACGATGAAGTATTGAAGACTATCCCATTATGGGCGAGGTTTCCCAATTTACCTCTTAATTTCTGGAGCATGAAAGCACTAAGCAAGATAGGAAGTGCTTTGGGGAACCCAGTGTATGCGGATGAATGTACTACTGGAGCAATGAGGATCTCGTATGCACGAATGCTAATTGAAATGGACATAACTAGGCCATTGCCTAGAAGTGTGAAATTGCAGGACCCTAAGGGGAGGCTAATTCAACAGGAGGTTGCCTATGATTGGGAACCAACATACTGCTCTAAATGTTTGAAAATAGGACATGATTATGCTGAGATCAAAAGGGCACAACCACAGAGAATGATCCAACAAAGGAAAGTAGCTAAAGGTAAACAAGTTTGGCTAAGAACTGACAGAATTGGAGCTAATGAAAAGAAGGAAACAGAACAAAAGGAAATGATTGAATCTGGCTAGCTAGGAGAGCCAGAACCAACAGAGAAAGAAGTACAAAGGAGGGATGAAGGGTAGATTACAGTACTTGGAAAATCAGCAGCAAGGACAGCTAAGGCCAGACAAAATGAAGAGTAGGAAGTTGCAGGAAAGAAAGAGGCCCAAAGCTTGAAGAACAACACAAATTATGATGAACCAGGTACAAGCAAAACGCAAATGAGCAGTCAAAGGGTGCAGGAGCTGTATTATGCACCTGTTTTTATACCAATATGAGTGTGATAACTTGGAATATTAGGGGGTTGAAAAAAACATATAAGCAAAAGGAGGTGAATGAGTTTATAAGAGGTAATAATAAAGCTCTAATAGCATTGGTTGAACATAGAGTAAAGGAGCACAGAACCAAAGATATAATCAAAAAGATAGCACCTGGTTGGCAGTGAATATCAAATTCTAGTCCAAGCAATAAAAGTAGAATATGGGTAATATGGGATCCTAGAATTTATGATTTTGATCCAGAAGAAGTTGATGAGCAGTTGATACATGGTCAGATTAGAATCATATCAAAGGCATTCACATTTGGGTTTTCAGCAATATATGGATTACATACTATCAAAGATAGACTAAGTATGTGGAGGAAGTTGAGACAGATACATAGTTTACAACAGGGTCCCTGGTTAGCAATGGGGGATTATAATGTTGTTCTTCAGGCACGGGACAGACAGCATGGTACTGAGGTACAAGATACGGAAACGAGAGATTTTAAGGAATATATGTTTGATACAAGGATGCATGAATTACAATATGTGGAAAGGAATTATACATGGACTAACAATCACACTTATAGTAGAATAGATAGGGGGTTAGTAAATGCAGCCTGGATGATGATAGTGCCTAATATGAAAGTACAAGTCTTAGAGCCATTAGTGTCTGATCATTCACCATTAAAGCTAATGATAACACAAGTGCAGGGGAAGAAGAATAGACCATTCAGATTCTTTAATTGTATAGCTGATCATCATCAATTCATACAGAAAGTTGAACAAGCCTATGAAGGAAGGAGTACTGGTGGTATGATTTAAGTAGTATGGAATAACCTCAAGAAGGTAAAGAAGGCTATTAAAGAGATTAACACACAACATTACAAAGGAGTTGATGAGAGAATTAAAGGGATCAGGAAGGAGCTTCAGTCAGTACAGGAAGAAATGAGTTCCAATCTACATAAGCTAGAGCTAATTGAGAAGGAAAAAACATTGAAGGGGGATCTAGAAAAATGGGTACTGATTGAGGAAAGCATATATAGACAAAGATCAAGAGTGCAATGGTTGAAGTTGGGTGATTCAAACTCAGTTTATTTCTTTGCTCAGATGAAGAATAGAAGTAATTTGAATGGAATACATATACTAACTAATGACATGGGGGACCAGCTAGTGTTGGAGGAAGATATAAAGGCAGAAATCATGGGGTAATACAAGAAGTTATTGGGTTCAAGAGCAGATAATCTTCCAGCTATTAATCCAAATGATATGAAAATGGGGGCAATATTGAATAGGGAACAACAACTACAGCTTATCAAGCAAGTGTCCGAGGAATAAATATGCGAAGCAATGAAGGATATTAGTGATCTAAAAGCCCCTAGATACAATGGGCTAAATGCTATTTTCTTCAAGAAATCCTAGCCAATCATTGGACAGGATGTGATAAAGGTTGTGTTGGAATTTTTTGACTCAGCACAAATGTTCAGGCCTATCAACTGCACTGCCATTACCTTAATTCCTAAAGTCAAAAATCCTGCAAGCATTAAAGAATATAGGCCTATTTCATGTTGTACAGTCTTGTACAAAGTGATATCAAAGATTCTTACCAAGAGTCTACAAAGTGTAATGGACATACTGATTGATAGTACACATGCAGCTTTTGTTCCTGGCAGAGTAATCACAGATAATATTATTCTGAGTCATGAGCTGTGAAAGGATATGGGAGAAAAGGGGTATCACCTAGATGTATGATGAAATTTGATATGCAAAAAGCCTATAATTCAATGGAATGGGCTTTTATGGAGCAGATATTACATGCATTAGCATTCCCAGAGCAATTTGTAAGATGGATCATGAACTGTATGGAAACTGTCACATATACAATCATGATTAATGGTGCACTAACTAAGCCATTTGAGGCTAGGAAAGGATTGAGACAGGGGGAACCCCTCTCACCATTTCTATTTGTGCTTGCAATGGAATACTTGACAAAGAAACTAAGAAACTGGCTGAGATCCCAAATTTTAACTTCCACCCCAAGTGTGCTAAGATGCAAATCTTGCAACTTGTTTTTTCTGACGATCTTTTATTGTTTTGCAGGGGAGATATTGGATCAGTTAAAAAATTGTTTCAATGCTTTATGGAGTTCTCAAAACCCTCTGGATTGATGATTAATAAAAACAAAAGCTCAATTTTCTTTGGAGGAGTCACAAATGATGAGCAGGAGGAGATCCTGGAATTTCTAGGAATTCAGAGAGGTGTACTACAAGTTAGATACCTTGGTGCACCACTGAGCTCCAAAAGAATATTCGTAGCTCGGTGTCAACCACTTATTGATAAAATAGTCGGAAGAATTACTTCATGGACTGCAAAATTCTTGTCCTATGCAGGAAGGATTCAACTCATAAAAAGTATCATGTTCTCCATTCAAACCTACTGGGCTCAAATATTTGTCCTACCAAAGAAGATCACAAAACCAATTGAGTCAATATGCAGAAGCTACCAATGGACTGGAGAAGGTACAGTTTCAAAAAAAGCACTATTAGCATGGGAGAAAATATGTCTTCCCAAGTCAGCAGGTGAATTCAATGTCATGAATATAGCAATCTGGAACAAAGCTGTTATATGTAAGCAATTTTGGAACTTATGTAAAGAGAAGAAGAAGTTGTGGATACTGTGGGTACATAGTTATTACATTAGAGGAAGGAACATCTGGAAAATACAGTTAAAACAAGCTTCATGGATGGTAGGCAAGATCATGAAGGCACAGAAGACTATGATGGAAGCAGGATTCAGCCAGGATGATATCACAAATATGAACAGTTGTTCTGTCAAACATATTTACCACATGCTGCGAGGGACGTTTGAAAAAGTAAGTTGGAGGAAAGTAGTATGTCACAATGGTGGATGCCCCAGATGGAACTTTGTACTAACTATGACAGCACATGGAAGATTATATACAAAGGATAGATTGCAAAGATGGGGAGTATCAGTTGATCAAGATTGTGTCATGTGCAACAGTGAAAAGGAAACCATAAATCACTTATTCTTTGAATGTCCATATGCAAATGTATTGTGGAGTAAACTGTTAGAATGGCAAGGCATTGACAAATCAATACAAGGATGGGATAAAGAGCTAAAGTGGGCAGAGAAATGGACCAAGAGAAGAAATGGAGCAGCTCAATTATACAAGACGGTGTTAGCATCTACAATATATTATGTGTGGCAGGAAAGAAATGGTCGAATCTTTAAAAACAAGACAAGAGTATGGGAGACAGTTTGAATTTTTAACAAGATAATACATTAAAGGTACAAGTGTAATTTGTATTAACAATTTTTCTACAATAAAAAACTTACCGATCTATTTGTAAACTACATTAAAGGTACAATATATATATATATATATATATATATATATATATATATATATATATAATATCTAAAAATAAAAGGAAAGATGGTCAACCAAGGGTATATATGTCATTTCAAAAAAAATTATTGTATTGTTTGCATTTCTTAAATACAAATTGTGTCCTCCTTGATATACGTGGACCCCACATTCCCTTGACCACATCACTCCTTTAAAAGTTTAAATGTACTATTAATTAGACTACTTTTGCATAGAGTTATTTCATGAAAATACTCATTTTGAATGTTTTTTCTCATTTGATAAAATTATTAATTTTTGTTTTAGTCAACTAAAAATTTTTACAGAAAAAGTAAATTTTATTTTTAAATAATAAAGCAACAAAAAGAAATATAGATAAATATTTACAAGATTTTTACATTTACCCATACTATTTTAACACAATTTAAAAAAAAAATTAAAAAGACTTTCATGTATTCATACTATTTGAAGGGGATTTCAAACCTAAAAGTTTTATATTCAAAAGTAATTTTAAAAATTATAGTTTGTTAAACCTTAAAAGTTAATTTAAGTGATGATATTTGTTCATCTGTTCTAAGAGGTTATCTCTTATGTACTTAATTGATGTGAAAATTTGATTTATATGGTTTGAACTCCATTCTTCCATGATAAGTTTTCAACAATCTATAAATTGTCTTAAAATATTTTATATTTTTCATTATAAAAATTAACATATGATAAATCTATAGAAAAAATAAAAATATTTCTCTTATATCCTTAACTAAGAAAAACTTAAAATCCCTATAATTTATATAGACTTCTATCAGATATTTATTATCTTATCACCAGTAACATCATTTTAAACGAGTTATAATAAAATATAATTTGAACTACTATATTGAATTACTTACAATTTGTATCATGTTAATATTTGTTTAGTGCAGTTGGTTCTCTTTGTTTGAAGTACTAAATTACCTCTTTAGGGATACAAGTCCCCTTGGAAGTTCTCTTTGTTGACTGTACTAAAAATTTCTCTTGATTTTGTTGTATACAATACATAAAGTAAAATTATAAGTTCTTTTTTAACTTTTCTCGTATTGTAAAGAATGATGTTGTTCGTTTTAACTTTCATCAGGTAGCTGATTGTTCCCACTATTTGCAACGCTTGCAAGACCAAGTTGGAAGTATTCAAAATTAGTTTACAAATAGATCGGTAAGTTTTTTATTGTAGAAAAATTGTTAATACAAATTACACTTGTACCTTTAATGTATTATCTTGTTAAAAATTCAAATATAGTGGGAAAATAATACCATTCAATCAATTTTACAATTTGATGTTTATATTTGACATTGATGTTAAAATGAGTTTTATACCACATAGTCTTTTTATGTTAGTAATTGGAGCAACTTAAGCAGGCTATAATTTATCGTTTAATTTTTTGTAAATTATTAAAATAAATTAATTGTAAATTGTGATCCCCAATATCATTCTCTATCAGTTATTAAATGGATATAACAATGATCGATTTATTTATCAAAAAACTAATTGAGCGCCGACAAACAACAATTTTACGATTACAATGTTGGGCCCGTATACGGGCCTTTCCTCGTCTAGCATATATATATATATATATATATATATATATTCGATTATTTTTTTAGACCGGCTGTACCGTACCATTCCGATAGGCCCATTGTAGACTCTGGTCAAATCTCAGAGCCCAAAATGGAAAGTCTACTTACTAATGGCCCATTAAGGAAAAGCCTATTCCCCAGCACGTCATCTGGTGTAAGGAAAGCTGCGTGGGAAGTTGGAAATTTGGACCAACCAATCCATGACTTTTAATATTAAAAATATTTATGGATAAACATCTTTTGGTAATTGAATTCCGATAATTTCATCGTTGAGCGAGTGAACTACACACAATGTAATCGAAAGCGCTCGAAACTCCTAACTGGGCCCACTTCCAATAATCTTTCTATCACTTGCTCCTCCGGAGCGTGACGTCTCTTTTGCAGGAATCCGAGTTTAGTTAAATATCCATTACGCGGCTATATCGTTGCACCTGAAATATATGAAGTTATTCCAATAAATTTTCATGTAAATTGTAATTCTCACCAAATTATTTTCTTCTTTTTAGTTTTTGAGTATTTCCTTTCCTAAAAATACTAGTATTAGTACCCGCGCGGATCCGCGGACACTAATCATATCAAATATTTAAGTTATTTGGATTGTACATAAATAATCTTAAAATTTACACTTTCTCGGTAAATATAGATAATCATTGGATATTAACTACATGAAAAGACTAACCATTTCTCCTATTTTTCTTTTTTTATATCATTCTCACCGGTGCCATTGGATCCTAAAAATAGTCAGGAAGCAAAATAATAACTCATATTTATGGCAAAACAATCAAATATTGAGACAATAAATGACTCTTTGGATAAGACTTAACTCTTTTACTACTACTGTACTCTTATTTGGTGTGTTGATATCTCTTAAAAAATATTTCTTTCTTAAAATTTCAGTTTCTAAAATATTATTTTTCAATAATTATTATTTTTACAATAATGTAATTGAAAATATTATTTTTAATTCAAAACTCATTTTAGTTGGCTATCTAAAAATATAAAAAATTCTTTAGTTGGTGAATTTTTTTTTACTCCATTTTGATATTTGACATTAACCATGTTAAATATCTGAGTTATTTGAATTATATGTAAATAACCTTAACATTTAAACCTTCTAAACAATTATAGATAATCGTCAGATATTAATTAAGAAACACTACATGAAAAAAGACTAGCATTTTCTCAATTCTCTAGTGATATCTAAAAATTTAAATGATTCTTTGGCCGGATTTATTTTAGTATGACTCCACTTTAAGTTTACCGATATCTCTAGCCCCAGAATTTGAATTTTCAGTACCCTATATATACAAAAATTTTGTTCTTGAATCACTAAATGTTAAATTAGTTGATTATTATTATAAAATATTGCATATATTGTCTTAAAATTGTCAAGTAGTTTATTTTCGACACCATACTTGGCTTAACCTCAATGCAAATTACTCAAATTGCATTCCAATTCAATCGAATATCATACCAGCTTGTTAGTAATAGTGATTTTTTAAATACGACACTTAAGGTAATTTAAAAAAAAAATTCTTAGATATCCTTATCTTATAATCTATGTATTTGAGTTGAAAAAACAAATATTTGAAATCGATGAGATTAACTTTCAAAATTTTTATACTCAACAAAAATGAAACATCAAAAGAAATTTGTTGTCATCTTTTATTTCTCGTTTTTAGATCTTACTAACATTTTTTTTCAATATTTATCTTATTTTATATGCCATTATTTCTTTTGTTACAAAAAATAATAATTTATTTCACTATAAAAGGATGCGTTTTAATAAAAATTGTCTACATATGAACTTTAATTATATTTTTAGTCTTTGGTTTAAATTATTTCATATTTTTCTTTTGGCTTTATCTAATCAGCCTAAATAGGTGCTCACCCGATCACTTAAATTAAAAAATTGAATGATGTGTAATTTATATAATCTATATATAATATGTGTATAATCGTGTGTTATCGGTATATCATCTATTTATATTAGCTATAAAAAGTAAACAATAAATATGGCCGGATATTATGTAAATATTCCATAAGATTTCATTTTTTTGATTTTATCCATTATATAACTTCTATTATAATGATTTTAAAACTATCTAATAATTGACATTATGGTTAAGACAAGTGGCAGGCTAATAAATGACAATAGTATATGGTAACTTTATTCTATATTTGATTATTTTTGTTATATATATATAATGTCAATTATATATGGTTACTTTCTTGCTTTAATACATATATAGATATAGATTTAAAGGAAAATAGTTTGCATTTTTCCCTATTTTAGGTATTAATTAGTAATAATTTGATCTAATATATTTAGAGTAAGCGCCACAAAATATCGTTTTGCTAGTTAATATTAAAAGACGTGAAAAATCTTCGTATAAATTATGAAATAATCTAAAAGAAACTGTAGGCATTTTATTCGGGAACGAATGAATACTAATTTATTTCTTTTTTCTTTTCGAATTTATGAATGTTAATTATTTTATTTTTCAGTAAAACAATCCACAAAAGATTGCACAAAAAAATCCATAAGGCCAACACAAAAAGAGTAAAATTTTGAGGAATCTTTTGTAGTGCATTGGTTGGCTATCTAAAATTTGACTTTACATGTTCAATTATACAACATGTAACTCCTTTTTTTCTTCTTCTAAAAGAGTTAACTTTAAATTATACTATTAAGATAAGACAAGAGAGCTTGTAATTTCTTTTCACATTATACTAAATATAAAAGGGTACAATTTTTTATTTTAAATTTTGTGGCCTTCTTGTACATAATAAATTTTGCACGATAATAAGATGATTTCACAATTTTAAAAATTATATTTAATTAGTTGTTCATATTTAATCAAAATGTATGAAAAGCTCACATATTCTGTATAACTTGATTAATTATATATTCATCCCTAGAGTTTAGTAAAAAGTAAGAAATAAAAAGGAAGGATTATGTTTTAACATAAAAGGCTCTATGAATTTCAATTTCAAGCCTAGTCCTTTCCCTCAAACAAAACTTTTTACTTGAACATATGCACATTAATGTAAAAAGTAAAAATACTACGCACTAGTAAAAAAATTTCTCCAAAAAAGTAAAAAAAGAAAAGAAAAAAGAAATCCTCCCACTCAGTACAAAGTCAAACAAGAATATTTTTCTCAAGCAGTTATAAAAGTACTGATTTATTCTATCGTAGTAAAATTTCCATAACCAAAATCTCGAACACAAACAAAAAAGAAAAAGAGGAAAGGAAGCAAAAATTAGAAGAAGCATAGAC